TTTCCAAAAAAAAATCATGCTTTATGTTCCTTCAATTTGTGGTGACAGGCCTGAGATTCAAGATTTCTTGCAGAAAGCAACTTGCCATGCCACTTCTGCTTTGAGATTACATTGTTTACATCCAATCGGTGCAATACTCTCTTCTATCCTTGTTGATGTTTAAGCAAGTCTTGTATCAGCTGTCTCTTTTGCCTGTAGTAGTTTCATGGCATTTATAATTATCTGTGTGCTTCTCTTCATTTTGTGACTCAGGATTCATGAAACCAACTCTGAGGTTTTGCAATTCCTTGTTTTTTTGTTGATTCTAATACAAGAAATATCAAGCCCATGTGTTGTGGTACATTGTAGTCGAGTTGGTTTGTCCTCTCATATTTGATCTACAATTCAAATCCTGTGCACTCTTTCTATTGTATAATCTTTTTTACGTGTTTTCTGTTAAGTGACTTGACATTCTGGTTTTTGCCAGGGATTGGGCTGATGAACTATTTGATGTTGTGACCTGATTTGGGTAGTGTTGTTTAAGAATTTCATTTTCCTCCTCGTTTATGTTTTTATACATGAGTTGTGCAATAGTAATATATTCATGCATGTACAATTGTATACTTGGCCTGTTTCTAATCCAACACTTGTTATTAGGGAGTCTAACGTAACAGCATTGGAGTTCTTTAGATGGTTTTTATTAACTTGTTGGTGATGCAGCCGAAAGAAAGCTGTGTGACGAAGTTTTGCCATTTTCTAGCAGAAATAAGGGCGGACCTGTGAAGGGCTGAGCGGGCTCCCTTGCTCCTGTTCACTCGATTATTGCAAGAGAAAAAAAAATTAGATGCCAGAAAGGTGCTCTCAAATCCTTTGAAACCAAATTTATAGAAAATATTTTACATGGGTGGATGGTTAAAGTAGTTAGGTTAAATCATGACTTACAATAGGTTGTAGGTTCGATTCTTACATCTAACAAAATTTTATGTTTCATCTTTTAAATTTCAGCTCACAGGCCAGCCCATGGCCCCTAGATAGTTATTACTAAAATTATTAACAGAAAGATACAGCTACAAGGATCGAATTCACAAGCCTCAAGTACGACTATAGACATAACTACCATGACACCAAGGCAGCTTTTCATTTATGTTTCTCCCATTTTGATTCTATTACTTTTTTTCATGATTTATTTTTCCTTTTCGCAAATTCATACTAAAGGTTGCTGTTCTATATCTCGTTTTCAAGGCGACATATTTATTTTAAAGGTCAAGGTCGATTTCATTTGAAAAAATGTATTTTTATCCACGAATCGACACAATTGACTTTTCCGTAAGTGAAATTGCGTTGATCTTTCTCAGGTCAAACCACAACTTTGTGGACCCTTGATCCACCTTAAAGGCTTAAAGGTGCACCTGCTCAAAAAAATTCCTGGTTCCGTCGCTGAGCAGAGATGTAGATTATGAATCGTATGATCCCCTTCTCTTTGAAATTTTTTAAATTTCAGGTAGTAATTCAATAGTAACCTGTCCAATAAATATTCTAAGAAAATTTTACATCATATGGATGCACATTAGGCTCTGTTTTAGTCATTAGTCATTCTCCATGCGTTTTTTGCTTATTAGTCATTTGTTTTCCACACATATACACATGTTTCTGCATTTTTTGTTACTTGAATTTGGGTGATGGGCATGATTTCCATTTCCCTTTCTAATGTTGTTGAGTGTGGTCTTGTTGCCGAAAGCAACYGCTGATGGAACTCCTCATTTTGCTTAATTGAAATGTTATTGCTTATGAGTTCTTTAGTTAAGTTTGTGAGTTTTTAGAGCTTATGGAGTATACTTTTTTTTTGAGTTTACCTCCCACATGGTGGCTGTGGGGCCGGTGCAGTGTGGGCGTTTGAAAGGGTGCGTCTATCTTCTTCATGATGACATGCTTCGGATGGCGCGGCCAGGAATTCCTTTCCCCTGTATGTTTTTGTACATGAGTAGTGTAGAAGCATATTCATGCTTTTATGCATTACTATTTTTTACTCCAGCACTTCTTATTTGGAACTAGCGGTTGTTCAATTCTATTGAATGTCCACAGACTTCATGTTCTTTAAACTCTTCTTTTGTAATCTTTTTGTCATAATCGAGAAGCCCAACTCTACTGATGTTCTTTTTGGTTTTCCCTGATTACAAATTTACAATGGAGAGCTCAATAGGTGGTTTTAGTTTATTGGTGAAGCAGCAGAAAGATAGCAGTGTAATGAACTTTCGTCCTTCTGTTCATGAAATCTAGATTATGAACCTTTTGATTCTAGATCATCTCATCTTTGATCATTTCTATTTTTTAGAAATAATCCTTATTACTATAACTATAAGTTAAGCTTTGAAAATGTGATGATTTCTTATTTTAGGATGGTTTCTTCTAGCTCTCCTAGAATGTGGTTTGACCTAGATAACTCAAGAACAGTGTTCCTGAACTAGTTAACTAGTTAACTAGTATGATACTTTGTGTAATGCGACGACTTCACTCTTAACTCCTGTATCGCTTGTGGTTCAGTTGACTTTTTTTCCCTTTACAATTGCTACAGTGACAAAATTCATGTATATTTACTCAAACATAGTTCTTGTTAACCTAATGCATGTTGGTAAATTGAATTCAAGTTCTGTTTGGAAGGGCTGATAACCTACCAGATGATTTGATTATTGTGGTCTGATTTGGATGATGTATTTGAGTATTTCTCTTCTTTCCTATGTTTATGTTATGTACATGAGCTGTGCCATGGTATGTACATGTTTTTATACTTTGCCAGTTTTTGTACTAGCACTTATTATTCAGAGCAAGTAGTTGTTCGGTAGGCTTGTTGTCTATCTTAGCTAGTTTTATATATATATATATTGTCGTCAAGTATGGCATAGACGTTGTCCGTAACCTTCTTGTGTTTATATATGCTTTTGCTTCTTGATCATATCCAGTGCACTCAAACGCCGTCACCTTTTCTTAAAGCACCCCAGTCTCCAGTTCTGTTAGACCTCATGATTAACCTTTCGCTGACACCAATGTCGGAGTTGAAGACTCTAATTGAACTTCTAGTCTTTGGATCACTCTAAATGATTTTTTCGATCACTTTGTTTGTATCTACAGCTTGCGCATGGTGTTTATGGTTCTTTTTTTTTTTTTATCTTCCTTTTAATTGCTTGCAGGAGAGGAATAATGGTCGGGATGTTGTTGTCCATGAACATTTGCTCTAGTTGTATGTATTTTGTTCATTGCACCTCTGAAGTAATGCTAGTCCTTTTGTACATGGGGATTGATGCTGGAAATTGTGTCATCCATTGTGTTGAGATGCTATAGGATTCAATATCTTCAATTACTGATTTCCATGGTTGGGGCCTTTGTTCTTGACCTGTAAGTTCAAGTCTCTGGAATTGGTTATTGGTCATATGCATCCATCGAATAAYTCTCCTTATCTTATTGTCTTTTAGGTCCAGATTCCTTCAATTGGTTGAAAATTTTGCAAAAGTTAGGCCTTGGAGAAAATTGCGTCGTCCGTTGTTCTTTTTTCAAATTTTCCAGAAGATCAATTTCTTGSCTTTCTACCCTYAAAGGAGGTGTACTTGCAGATTACTTTGACGTTGTTGCTGRAACAAACACCYGAGATCTAGTCACAGGCTCACAGCTATGCTGATGGCTCCAGACCAAAACAACAGACCTCTGTATGCGACTAAAGATATTGTTCCGTTTTATCTTCGAAATCTCCCAAGATTTAATTTCAGACAAATTAGGTTAGGTAAAATACAAGGATATCCATAT